AAAAAAAAAAAAAAAAACCCGAGAAAAAAGGACACTTGTAGATGTGAACAAAATACAGAAGTAGCTCACGGGTCTGCCAAACACTGTCACAGCAGTGCTGCTCTGTGCTTACTGTACAGTGTGATACTGTACAATGGTGCAGTGCTCAATCAGAGCCCAGGATGTCTGGAAGCAAGAGGAAAAGCAGTGGTGATGTGGAGGGGACAGCTAGGAAGTGCAAAGCAATAACCATGGAATCAAAAGTGAAAATATCCCGGTACTGGAAAAAAAAACAAAAGTAAAAATAATTGAGAGACTAGACTGAGGTGATCTGATGGTAGATGTCACTCATTCTTATAGCATGAATCATTCCACCGTTGGTATAATTCTAAAGAATAAGAACAAGATCACGGAACATGTAAAGTCCACTGTCCCAATGAAGTCAATAATAACACCCAAAAAGCATGGTACAATGATAGAGGAGATGGAGAAACTTCTCAGTGTGTAAATGTAGGATCAGCATCAGCACTGAGTCCTATTCAGTTTAATGCTTACTCTGGAAAAAGCTAAAAGTCTGTTTGAAGACTTGAAGAGAAACGAGGTGAACAGGGTGCCTCTTTCATTGTGAGCTATAGGTGGTTTACCAGATTCAAGGCTAGAGCCAACCTTCACAATGTAAAAGTGGTGAGATTGCAACAGCAGATAACCATAGCTGCCCAAGAATTTCCAGCAGCTCTTAAAACAGAAATTATTGATAAAGATGCTTATTTGCCCCAATAGGCTGCTTTTTTTTTTGGTACCAGGGATCAAACTCAGGTCTTTGCGCTTGTGAGGCAGGCGGCAGCACCACTGAGCTAAATCCCTGGCCCAACCCCAATAGGTTTTTAACATTGATAAGACATGACTGTTCTGGAAGAAGATGCCAGAATAAAGTTACATCAGGAAAGAGGAAAAGATGATGACAGGTTTCAAAGCAGCAAAGTACAGACTTACTCTGTTGTTTTGTGGCAATGCTTTCAGTGATATGAAACTAAAGCCTCTCTTAGTTTACCATTCAGAGAACCCAAGAGCCCTCAAAAATATAGCCAAGGGCTCTCTACCTGTTGCACATAAGAGCAACAGGTCATTTTCCAAGCCTGGTTTTCCCACCACTTTATCCGTGGAATAAAGAAATACTATTTGGAGAAAGATATCCCTTTCAATATTCTTTTGTAGTGCACCAGGTCACCTCCAATTCATGGATGACTTTCATCCCAACATTAAAGTAGTGTGTCTGCCTCTGAATACTACAGTGCTCACCTAACCTATGGACCAAAGAGTGACTGCAACTTTCAAGAAGTATTATGTATGTCACACTTTTTGTCAGGCAGTGAAGGCAACTGATGAAACAGAACAACCTTGCAACAATTTTGGAAAAACTATAACATCTACAAGGCCATAAAAAATCACCTTTGCTTGGCATGAGGTTTCAGCTGTTACCATGAATGAGGTTTGGAAGAACCTTTGCTTGGAGTTTGCTCATGAAGTTCATGGACTTGAGAAATGGGTAAGGGGTCCAAAGAGGTCTTCAACAACTTAGTAACCCTTAGTAAGAAACTGGAGCTAGATCTTCCAAGAGGGCAACTTCATTGAATTCCTTGCTGTACAGCACGAGGAGCTTACCAACGAGGGCCTGATGGAATTAGAGGCCCAGCATAAAGATGAACAGTAAAGAGGAAGACAGAACTGAAGAAGCAAAGAGATTCACAACACAGGAAATGGCAAGGGGATTTTCTTTACTTGAAGAGGCACTGTTAAGTTTTTGAGCCACAGGACCCCAATGTAGAATCATACATAAAGATTGCAGCAGTCATTCAGAATGCCATCCAATGCTACAGAATAATCTATGATGAGAAAAAAAGAGCTATTATTCAGACCTTGAGAGCATATGCTTAAGTGAAATAAATCAGACACACATATGTAAATACCACATTGCTTCCTCTGGTGTGAGAAACTGAAAGTGTTAATGAGGACCAAAATGTATAATAGGTATTGTAAAATAGGAAAAAAATGTTCAAAGGGGAAGGGGAACTAGGGAGGGGGGCAGGGGAAAGGAAGGAAGGGAAAGAAAAAAAATGAGAAGAGAAAAAAATGCAAATGAAGCTTTTGTAAAAAGGAGGGGTGGAGTTGAAGGGAGGGAAGGGGAATGGGAAAAAATAAGAACCAAAATATATCATATACAAGTACAAATTCCCTATGATGAATGTGATCATTATGTATACCTAAAATGTACCAATAAACTTAATTTTAAAAAAGCTGATTCATATAAATGTAAAAACTATAAAGGCCTCTCTCCTAAATAATTTTCAGATATGAAATTGATTTCCTAACATTGATATTATCATAATAAATATATAATAAATATGTATAATCCACTAAGGTAATACAAAGAATATTTTTCCAATTACAAATCTTAAAATTACAACTATTTTCTGTTGGCATTCTTATCATAGCAAGATACATACTTTTGCTCTTGATTGTGTTAGTTCAAAATGGATTGACTCTATTTTACTCATTAAAGAATGATTCTGTGTGACCAAACAAGCATTCTGTTGCCTAAGTTTATCAAGTTTTTCTCGCAGACTTTTAATTTCCTGATCCACAGGAGCAGAAGACAAAAAAGACACCTGAAAAATAAAAAAGAGCAATCTATTCTCAATTACTTAAGGGTAAATACTGGGAAAATGACACACAATTATTATAATGACCTAGAAGCTCAGAAAAATGAGTTAAAATATTTACTGAGTACTGATAAAAATGTGAGAAAAATCAGTACTCTTCCCCACTGCTGGTGGAAGTGTACATTTGGGAAACAGTGGTATACTTTGTTAAACTGCTGGGTCTTATCCATGAAAAGTAAATGTATAAAAGCAACAATATCACAACTAGATATAAACCCGAGACTTTTGTATCTGAGTATATACAAATATCCATAACTACACTATCCATAAGACACAACAAATAGAAGCCAAATCCCCCCGACAGATTCATACATATTTACATACAGACAGACTGATTCATCGATCCCTGGTAAGGGGGATCAAATGCAGGGGCATTCTACCTCTGAGCTACATCCCTAGCCCTTTCTATTTTTTATTTTGTGACAGTCTCACTGAGTGTCCCAGGCAGGACTCAAACTTGCAATTTTCCTGCCTCAGCCTCCCTTAGTGCTAGGGTTACAGGTATGTACCATCATGCCCAACTTATACATACATTTCTACTGTACTCTTTTTGTGTGTATGGTACTGAGGATGGAAACCAGGGCCTCACACATGCTAGGTAAGAGCTACATTCTCAGCCTTTTCAATATTTTTATTCTGAACAAGGACTGCTAAATTAAATTGCCCAGGTTGGCCTCAATCTTGTTATCCTCAGACTCCTCAATCCGAGTTTACAGCCATGTGCCACCATGCTCCTCACCAAAAAAAAAAATTTATATATAAATATATATATATCTTTTATATATATACTCTTTTGCATGGTTTGCAATTTTTTAAAACATTCATTTGGTTAATTTTATTTTTTGAGTAATATATTTATGCATTCAGAAGTCAAAACTAGCAAGGCGTGATAGTGCACACCTGTAATCCCAGCATTTGGGAGGCTGAGGCAGGAGGATCACTGTGAATTCGAGGCCACTGTAGACTACAGTGAGTTAAGGCCAGCCTGAACTACATAGTGAGACTCTGTCTCAAAAAACAAAAAAGAAAAGAAGTCAAAATTATATAAAGAAAAGGCATACACAGAAATCTTCAGTCCATCTTTACTAGACAACCATTTTTATAACATTTTAGTCCTCAGTGATTCTACATGGGTACACAGCAATGCAAATTACTAACTTCCCTTATGTCTTTATGTTAAAACTAGCATATTATAAATACTATATTCTGTACATTGTATTTTTTACTTGAACAATACATACTGCCAATTTCTCTAATATTAATTCATGGGGAAACTTAATAGTCTCCCCCCACAATTGCAGTTTCCATTGAGTGAATGAACTATAGATTATTCAATCAATCATGTACTACTGGACACTGGAGCTAGCTATTTCTAATCTTTTGTTATGACATTCAATGCCTCATTTTATACTTGTGTGGGGATACCTGTTGGGTAGTTTTCCAGGTAAATATTGCCAAGTGCCTCTTTATTTGGTTTATATAACTTCATGTTTCTACCAACAATGTGTATCCCAATATCACCACAAGACAGTGTGATATATATAAATGTTTAACAATCTGATAGGTAAGAACTAGTACTAAATATAGTCTCATTTTTAATTTCTCTTATTATAAGTGAAATTGAACACCTTCCTATTTGTTTGAAGATCATTTTCATTTCCTTTTCCATTCATGTCTTTTTTATCCATTTCATTGTTTTTTTGTTCTCACTATCTGGCTCTTTACATGCTTGAGATTAGCCTTTGTCTTTATAAAGCATTACCAATATTTTTCTCTTCAACTTGTGGTTTTCTTTTGATTTTATTTGTGCCACTTGGAAGGCAGAAGCAGGAGGACCTTGAGATGAAGGACCACCTAGGCTACATAGTGAGTTCAAGGCTAGCCTGGACTACACAGTGAGACCCCGTCACAAAAAAAAAAAAAAAAGGAGAGAGAGAGAAGAAAAAGGGTTAAGTAAGGAACAGAGATAAACACAAGGAGATAGATAATATGACACAATAAGAGGAAAAGAGTTGCAGAGCAGGAAGACATTTCTAACATCACTGACAACCTTAGGGGTATTGAAAGAGACTAGTCCCATGCTATGACATAGCAGATGACTCAAGCTAAATGATGGATATACTTTAATTAATAAATAACTGATCACCTATTATTTTCAGAGCATAATGCTAAAATCAGGGGATTTTAATTTACTTGAGAAAGGGCGATTTAACGGCAAAACAACAATAAATACATAAGTTTAAAAACAGAATAGCTGTTCCTCACTGGCTGCCTGAGGATCTGCTGCCATCATGAATGACATGGTAACTATCAGACCAGGAAGTTCATGACCAATTGACTACTTCAAAGGAAACAAATGATCATGGGTGTCCTTCACCCTGGGAAAGCAACAATAACTAAGACAGAAATTTGAAAAATGCAAAAGACCACACCAGATGTCATTTTTGTACTTGGTTTCAAAATCCATTTTGGTGGTGGCAAGATAACTGGCTTTGGCACAATTTATGATTCCTTGGATTATGCTTAGAAAAATGAACCCAAACATAAACTTGCAAGACATGGCCTGTATGGGTCTGGGATTTAGCTCAGTGGTTCCACTGCCTGCCTCGAAAGCACAAGGTCCCGAGTTTGATCCCTGTTACTAAAAAAAAAAAAAAAAAGACATGGCCTGTATGAGAAGAAAAAGACCTCAGGAAAGCAGTGAAAGGAATGCAGGAACACAATGAAGAAAGTCAGGGAGACCGCAAAGGTCAATGTTGGTACTGGCAAAAAGGCAAAGGAGTAAAGATTCCACAATGCCTGTCTGCAGTGATTGTGCAATTTTTTCATGAGAGGATTAATAAACTGTAAACACTTAAAAAACAAATCAGAATAATACTCCAAGATAATTATCTTTTGGTTAGGACATAAAAAGAACAATTACAATTTAATTCTTGAACAATATAGTAAAAGACTATAGAAAACATGAATAAGACATTTAAAGAAAAACTCAAGGAAAAAAATTTTAAGTAAACCAGTCTAAAACTAAAACTATTTTAAATTAAATAAGTCTAAAAACAATAACCTTATCTTTTGGCTTTTTCTGAAAATCAGAGCTGCTACTGGACATTTTACAAATGTTTTTAGAAGATGAGTAATTCAAAAGTCCTGGGTGGCTAGGCTGAACAAGATCTTCCATAATACGTTTTTCAAACCTTGAAGGATTAGAAGCAAAATTGGAATTTTCACTTGGACTAGCACTACAGAAAAAAGAAAAAAATACATTTTAGTTTTTAGTTTAAATATTTACTACAAATTTCTATATAGTAAATAAGAAAATAGAAAAAACTGATGTTGACAATTAGACCCATAGTTATGAACATAAGTAAACCATACTTTTATTTTTTGTGAGGTTTTTCTGTTTTGTTTTGAGGCAGGGTCTATGTAGCTTGGGCTTGTATTGAACACACAATGTAGCCCAGGCTGGCCTTGAACTCATGGCAATCCTCCTACCTCAGCCTCCCGGGTACTGGGATTACAGGTATGCACCACCATATCCAGCAATAAACCATAGTTTTTTGGGGGTTTTGTGGTACTGGGGATTGAACTCAGGACCTTGTGCTTGTAAGGCAGGCATGGTGCCATTGAGCTAAATCCCCAGCCCTAAACCATAATTTTAAACTAGCAATCTATGTATTTCCTGAGCCTCTATGCTAGGGTTTCTTAGGATTCTAAATGTAATCATAGCAATAATGATTAAGAAAGTCTCAAGTGTATATTTTATACTGATTCCTAATACATTATGGGTGTTTTCTTAATATGTAAATGATTTTCGGATATTCCTGGGTTTTTTTAACTGAGAGTCAAAAAGTATAGAAAATTGACAGGCATGGTGTCATATGCCTGTAATCCTAGCTACTCAAGAGGCTAATACATGAGAATATTTAGTTCAAGAACAGACTGTGTAACTTAGCAAGAACCTGTCTCATAAATAAAATAAGTAGGCCTGGGGACGTAGCTTGGTGGTTTTATGGTTTAAATATGAAATGGCCCCAAAGACTTTTATGTTTTGAAGCCTTGATCACAATGTAGTAATATTCAGAAGTAGGGCCTAGAGAGGTGATTAGATCATGAGGGTCAAATGAGCTATTAGAAGGTGGGTCCCTGTTGGAAGAAGTCACTCCTATTGTGCCTCTGAAGAATAGATTTATTTCTAGCTCCTTAAACTAGCTCCTGTTCTCTTGATGTCTCAGGTTCCTGGCTGCCACAAGGTAAGCAGCCTTTCTTTGCCATGCCCTCCAGCAATAATGTTTCTGTCTTGGAGCTAGCAGACCATAGACTGAAACCTCTGAAACCATAAGCCAAAGTAAATTTTGCTCCTTTAAGCTGTCAAGTATTTGGTCACAGCAAGACTGATAGCCCTGGGTTAATCTCCAGTACCACAAAAATATAAAAAATAAAATATAGAAAACTATATCTTATTCCAGAGGCATATAAAACATAATTAAATCTAAACATTTTATAATTTATTCATACTATGAATTCTATACAAAATTTTACTTACTTACCTGGATAACTCTTGCCCTAAATTCTGCAAACTCCATTCTGTTATCTTCAGTTCATGTCTTAACGACGCAACATTTGCAAGCAAACTTTCTTCTTCATTGTCTTCATTATAACAGGCTGATGAACCTGATTCCATTTCTTTAAAAAAAATTAATTTCTTGTATCTTACCTGAGAGATTCTGTAATATAGTCAAAATATTCTCACAGTAATAAAAATTTAACTCATTATTTTTCTATTCCAAATATGACATCTCTTGTGGTGGTTAAAACAACAAGAAAAGTAGTCAATTTTAATAAGGTGTTTTGTTTTTGCATTTGTTTTTGCTTTCCAGTACTGAGGATTGAATGGAGAGTGTACCATTGAGGTACATCCCTACCCTTTTTTGTTTTGTGACAGGGTACTCAGGATGGTCTCAAACTTGTAACATGCCTCAAACTTCTGGGTAGCTGGGAGTAGCTGCGATTACAAGCATTCACTCACAATGGTTATAAAATTTAAAACACACACACACTCATTCACAAGTCATAACCAGAGAGCAAAATGACATTTGGCAATTCACTTGTCCAACTACTATATGAAGCTTTTGTTTTTTGCACTGGTGAGTATCTCCAGGATTATGAAACCACTAAATCCCTTTGCACATAAAAAATCATTTTAGGGGAGCTGAGGATTTAGCTGAGTGGCGCTGTGCCTGCCTGGCACGCGCAAGGTCCTGAGTTCAATCCCTGGTACCAAAAAGAGAAAAAAAAATCATGTTAAGGGACATTTTATTATTGTAATTATCAAAATAAAGAACTCAATCTTTAGAATCTCTACTACTCTTAGAAACCTTCCTGTATAATCTTACTACTTCATTCTTCTTTTCTGATTTCTTAAAACTGACCACAGCCCAAGCTCCAAAAAGGCCAGCAGTCCCGTGTCATGTGTTCAGGACTGTAATGTACTTAGAAAAGCTCAGTATTTTTGACAAATAAATGATAAATAAGAAAATGCCTTTTCCTCCCTTCATCTGGTTAAGATAGTATGCTACATTTATTTTCCTCTCAACATTTCCCAAGTAGGATTTAAGGTTAAAAACAAAACCCTGGCCTTATTGGAAAAAGCTGAGGCAAGAAATTAAATGAGATCCTTTGTAATCTTAGCAGACTCTATCCTTTGCCTCCTTTGTTTTTATACAAATTTGCTTCAATTTAAATAAGAAGACTCCCAGGTAAAAGTCAATGGATTAGGCAACTGTTTTGCTCTATCCAACATCTCTAGCTCCCTATAGGATAAAGCTAAAGAACACTGTAGTTGGACAGAATTTCAAATGTCGCTCAGTACTGTGTATTTATTTCATCTATATGTTCAACATCTGTGTACTTTCACGTAAGAATTTTTTAACTCTTCTGAAGCAGCAATGAATCATTCTATATTCAAATATTTTCATTTTTCTCCTGAGTCATTTACTGTCAAACAAAGATTGTTCATTACAATTTATAGTTGTTACCAAAAAAAGCCTATCTTAGGCAGGCATAACGACAATCCTAGCACTCTGGGAGGCTGAGGCAGGAAGATAGCAAATTCCAGCCCAGCCAGGGCAATTCAGTGACTTGTGTGAAGAAACTGGGTTCAATCCCCAGGACTTGGGGAATGGGGGCAGGTCTCTTCATTGCTTGTACAAACGTGAAAAGGCATATCGTCTATCTTACGTCATCTTTTAGCCTCGATCAACAATTCGATCAACCATTCGTTTGTAGGTGTATAGATGCACACTCACCCCTCGAAGGTCAAGCACAGTATTCTCTATAACCTCTGGGTGTGATAGGATGGACTGTAGTCGAAAAAAGATTTCCTACATGCCACAGTCGATCTTTTACCCGTCTAAAAGAATTGGAGCAAAAGCTGACAATCTCCTCTCGGATATTTCCTCAAATAAAATACAACGGCAGTAAAGGTACGTGAGCGAGGTACCTCAGAGAAAGAAACTCCCCAAGGTGTGTCGGTTTCCACCCTCTAAGGGGCATTCGCTCACCACCAAACCCCAGCTAGGGAGAGACCCACCAAACGACGGCGCACGGCGCGACTTGTCTGCGCTGGGACCCTCTCCTGGGGCACGGCGTGGAAGCCTCAGACACACAAGGACTGAGACCAAGAAAACGCCCGCGGCGAAGAGTTCGAACCGCCACGGGAGCCGTTGCGAGGCGGCTCCGCGAGACGCCAGCGCGCAGGGCCTGCCGGGATCGTGGTGGCCGAGCGCAGTTGAGCCGGCTCTCCGACCTCGCCCAGGACTACATTTCCCATAACTACGGCCGCGACGCCCATTGGTGTAAGGGAAGCCATGGGAACCTGCGGCCATGTGAGTGTGAGGCGGGCTGCGCTCACGCCCGGCGTGAAGAGGCCAAGACTGAGAAGGGTGCGGAAAGGGACCGCTGGCCCCGCCTTCAGTCTCTACCCTCCAGAGGACACCACTTGCCGCCACCGCCTTTGCTACTGCGGCCGCCACCTAAAGTTTTCTTAGACTCAGGGCTCCCCTGCCTCGAGGAGTTCAGGGAGGAAAACCGGAGCCGAAGCGCCAGTGTCCCACATCTCCACGCGACCTTCAGCCCGATATTGCCCCAGCTAGGATGGGCGACAAAATCTGGCTGCCCTTTTGTTTGTTCCTCCTGGTCGCTTTACCCCTAAGGCTGCTGCCGGGGGTGGCCGGCTTCACGCCTTCCTTAGACAGCGACTTTACATTTACCCTTCCGGCCGGACAGAAGGAGTGTTTCTACCAGTCCATGCCGCTGAAGGCCTCGCTGGAGATCGAGTACCAAGTAAGTGGGGAGCGTGAGCCCGCCCTCTTCCTTTAGCCTGGCTGCACCTCGTCGCACTCGCTGGGGTACTTCTTGTGGACCGCCGGGGAAGTGAAGGGGCCAAGGCGGCCCCGGCAGCCGGCCTGGTCCGCGCAGGCGCGCGCTCGCGCGCGAGGCGAGGTTCTCGCTGGGGCGAGGGGACCCGGGACAGAGAAGTTTGCCTGGCCATGCAATTGACTGCTGTCCGCCCTCTTCCCTTTTCTCCGGTCGGAAAGAGGCCAGAACTGGTGAGGTCGGTGACTTTACTCTTTCTTTACCAGTTGGTGTTCTACCCAGTCTACACTCCAGTACTGAGAATTTCACAATACAAGACAGAAACACGTTCTCCTTTATCATTGGACGAAGTGATGACACTTTGTTGAGTCACCTCCACTACTTTCACCCAATTCCGATATTATAAACCTTCACTATCTTTACTTCAGTTAAGAATTTTTGAATCGTAACCGTGTGATTATCACTCAGTTTGATTTTCAAATATTTTGGGAGGTGCTATTGCCTGCCATATTGACTGGTGGATATTTCCGACCCTTATATATCCATTTTTTTCAAATCAAATATAATCAAATCATATATTGAAACTTTGTAACCTTTCTTTTATCTGGCATTGTCAGCATTTCCCTGTGTCATTTTTTGATATATGCATAATACTCTATTATAAAGAATTGGATGGGTTTATATAGTCATTCTGGTAGGGGACAATTTCTTAGAAGACAATCTGTTTTATTTATTCAGCACTACTGAGGATTCAGCCCAGGGTCACCTCGCTGAGCTACATCCCCAGCCCATTTTTTATTTTGAGACAGGTTGGGCTTGAATTTCCTCAGCCTCCCAGAATGCTGGCATTACAAGCCTATTCTTCCCCAACCCCTACTTAGAAGATAGCTTAGTAGTTCCATACTGCCAATTTCGACATTTCCTGGTAGCACTGCAAAAAATGCATGTTGGCCGCCAGGATTTAGCTCAGTGGTGCCCACGCCTGCCTTGCAAGCACAAGGTCATGAGTTCAATCCCCTATACAAAAAA